TGAAAAAACGTGATATACCAAATTTTAAAAACTAAGAAATTTCTAGTTAGTAAACTAAGATTAACTCAAATTTGGACAATTTAGTAATTACATAAACATAAATTTTGCTGTTTTTTTCACCAACCTCACATTCAAGTTAGTATAGCATGATATATTTAAAATTCAAAAATAAATTTTGTTTAAAAAAAACTTAAAAATAAAATAAAATAATTAAAAAACTGCTCATTATTATCCTAATTTTTGTAACTAATTTTTTATTTTTAAATTTTAAAAACAAGTTACACTTCATAATAAAAAAACAAAACAAAATAAAATTGTTCACACAGTGTGGGCATCTGCTAGTATTAATTAATATAATAAAAAACTAAGAATATCCAGTATAGAAAATGGAAATATATATACGTACCTTAATTTGCCTTAGCATCAAAGCTAAGTGCAGTATGGTCACACCACCATCACAGCCAGCTCCTGAGTTAAGGAACTCACCATTGCTGTCGTCTCTTTCAACCAACATTTTCAAGCACTCTAACTGGTTGTGTTTAATACACAAGTGCAAAACTGTTTCTTTCGATTTGTTTTCAACTTTGACATAAATGGACTCAGGATTTTTATCAATCAACTTCTGGAGCACCTCAACTTCTCCTCTCATGGCTGCATAGTGAAGAGGGATTCTTCCGTTTTCATCATAACGCAAGCACGCATCAGCATACACACATAACAAAGCTTCGACGGTTTCCTTGTGGCCCTCAGCAGAAGCCAAGTGCAAGGGCGTGCGTCTATCGGCGTCTATCCGCTCTGCAAGTTTGGGATTGTTAGTGCAAAGGGCTTTGGTAAACTCAGCGTGGCCGTGCAAAGCCGAAACATGCAAGGGGGTTCCGGTTTTGCCGGTCTGCAAGGATATTCTCCATAGAATGTCTGGGTCTTTTTCGATCAACCTGTTTAAGGATTCTACACTCCCGGTCCGTGATGCCTCGTACACTTCATCTTCATCATGCCGTGTGATCTCCATTGTTTTTTTTTTTTTTTCTCTCTCTCTTTCTGAACTTTGCTTCACTTAGAAAAATTTTCAGAGAGCAATCGATTATTTGTAATAGCGAACAAAATGCGCGTATATCAAAAGGACTCTTATAAGGTTAAAAGTCATACCATTAGGTGTGGAAGTTCAACGTATGTAGAAATGGCAAGTGGAAGTTCAAAAAAAGGTGATATGTTGCCCCCTAAGCCACCCAAGCGTTAGCAAGCAAATTATCATTGAAAAAGTAGGTGGATCACTCTCATACCATTAAGGCATAAGAAGAGTTTTGAGGGATAAAAGTCATACCATTAGGTGTGGAAGACTTGAATTTTGGAATGTTTATTTTAGATGTGGAAAACTTGAACTTTGATGTTTATTTTAAGTTTGGACTTTTGGAAGATTTGAACTTTGATGTTTATTTAACTTTGGACTTTGGAACACTTGATTATAATTGAACTTTGAATTGAATGTTTATTTTCATTGTCTTTGATTATATTAGAAATTAGTATCTTTTCTTTTATTATTTGTATGTAGAAATGGCAAGTGGAAGTTCAAAAAAAGGTGATATGTTGCCCCCTAAGCCACCCAAGCGTTAGCAAGCAAATTATCATTGAAAAAGTAGGTGGATCACTCTCATACCATTAAGGCATAAGAAGAGTTTTGAGGGATAAAAGTCATACCATTAGGTGTGGAAGACTTGAATTTTGGAATGTTTATTTTAGATGTGGAAAACTTGAACTTTGATGTTTATTTTAAGTTTGGACTTTTGGAAGATTTGAACTTTGATGTTTATTTAACTTTGGACTTTGGAACACTTGATTATAATTGAACTTTGAATTGAATGTTTATTTTCATTGTCTTTGATTATATTAGAAATTAGTATCTTTTCTTTTATTATTTGTATGTAGAAATGGCAAGTGGAAGTTCAAAAAAAGGTGATATGTTGCCCCCTAAGCCACCCAAGCGTTAGCAAGCAAATTATCATTGAAAAAGTAGGTGGATCACTCTCATACCATTAAGGCATAAGAAGAGTTTTGAGGGATAAAAGTCATACCATTAGGTGTGGAAGACTTGAATTTTGGAATGTTTATTTTAGATGTGGAAAACTTGAACTTTGATGTTTATTTTAAGTTTGGACTTTTGGAAGATTTGAACTTTGATGTTTATTTAACTTTGGACTTTGGAACACTTGATTATAATTGAACTTTGAATTGAATGTTTATTTTCATTGTCTTTGATTATATTAGAAATTAGTATCTTTTCTTTTATTATTTGTATGTAGAAATGGCAAGTGGAAGTTCAAAAAAAGGTGATATGTTGCCCCCTAAGCCACCCAAGCGTTAGCAAGCAAATTATCATTGAAAAAGTAGGTGGATCACTCTCATACCATTAAGGCATAAGAAGAGTTTTGAGGGATAAAAGTCATACCATTAGGTGTGGAAGACTTGAATTTTGGAATGTTTATTTTAGATGTGGAAAACTTGAAATTTGATGTTTATTTTAAGTTTGGACTTTTGGAAGATTTGAACTTTGATGTTTATTTAACTTTGGACTTTGGAACACTTGATTATAATTGAACTTTGAATTGAATGTTTATTTTCATTGTCTTTGATTATATTAAAAATTTGGAATGCTTATTTTGACGATTATGTTGAAATGGGACTTATTACAAAATGGCTGCAAGTTGTTTTCATACAATTTTTTTTAGCTACTTGGAAGAAGAAGAAAGGATAAAAATAAAAAAAAATTAAAAAAATTAAAAAAAACCGAACCGAGAAAAACCGAACCGAATACAAACCGAACCGAACACAAACCGATAGAAAACTGGACTGAACCGAACAGTAATTTCGGTTTGGTTTCCGGTTTTGCAAAAAACCGAACCGAACGGAACCGAACCCACCCCTAGCTGGTAGTACCAAAAACAAGCTTTTGAAGTTTTCTGTTGTTTTTACTGTGCAATCATGCATGAGCAGATTCTTAGTTAAATTTTTTTCCCCATATTATGACAATTTTCTTTGGCTCTTTTATGCAAACCTCGAAGTTTTATGTTCCCATTTTCCCTAGATTTTGATTTTCTATAATATAGTTAGATCTTGTGTTTGTAATTAATTATAATTTGTGTGACATTTCCATGTTAAATACTACTGATTTGTAATTAGTGAGTTCTGGGTATATTTAGGGAAATTTTATTCAGACCTACTTATTCTCTTTCTACACGCAACTTATCTTTTTTTATCTTGAAATTGCTAATGTGCCCAACAATTCTCTTTCTACATTCAAAAGTGGAAAAAAAAAAAAAAAAAATTCAGAGGAAACTCCGGCCACCCCATCTCTCCAAACCCCTACCACCCCAAATTTGTACTCCTCCCCAACAATGCAATGAAGAAAGGTATAGCTGCTACCTTTTTGTACAAAGTCTTGGATTTTTATGGGGGGTTTCTTTTTTTCTGCGTTTTTTTTTTCATGATAATATTAATATTGTTGGTAGTTATTAAATTCGACTATTGCATATGTTAAATTTTACTTCAAATTGTAGTAATTGCCATACACGTAAATATTGAATGTTGAATGTTTTTTTTTTACGTGAATGTTGAATGTTGAATGCCTTATCATTTTGGTTTTTAACATGCCATTGTTTATCTATATCCAAAATGAGTCTGAATCCTTTCAAATAAATGGTACTTTCTAATTTGAGAAACTGTAATTCACTTTTTTATTTTATTTTTTTATCTTTTCCTTTATATTTGATTTACAGAGCTCTTGGGTTGTCAATTGTGACTCGAAATTCTACTCACATGGATCATACGTAAAAAACACTATTTTCTTTTATTATTACTTTTCCTTCAAATGTGTTTTATTCTGAGATTGTCTCTTTATATATTGTAAATTTCCAGCACTTATGCAAACTTCAGAGCATATAGGTTCCATTTTAGGTACAAAGAACCAAATATGTTATCTATGTCTTCAATGAAATGCTTTAGTGTTATTGCTTTTAATTGTTTAGTTTTAACTGATGTTTGGATGCTTAAAAATATTCTTCGTTTTACTTTTTGAACTTGAACGGATAATCAAATTGGAATAGATTCTATTTTTTTAGTTCGTTTTGCTTATCAGTTTATCTTACTTCTTTGAACCAAATGCAAATTCCAATCTTGCATTGTTAAGCCCTGAAATTAGAACAAGAAAACTTGCATGAAATTGAAGTTTTCTCTGATTGAGAGCTCATTTTTCTTCTACTTGAAGTTTTCTCTAATTGATTTCTGAATAATTTAGAAATGGGTATGATAAATTGTGGGTTACGATTTCAGAACCTGTGGTGGAGCGCGGGCATTTTTTCTAGTTTCAATTCTATTTCACTGAGGGCCGGCCTCGAGTCATTCTCAAGTTCAACATGGCCCCAAATTCTTCTACCAGTGTGTACTAGGTAGACAAACTAGAACTAGAAATACTATTACCTGGCTAAGGAGCTAGACCATGTTAATTAGGGCCTGTAGTTTCCGTTGATGATATTATCGATTTTCTTAAGTACTAGGAAGTTGTTGAACGAACAATCTGATGAGTAAGTAAACTACATGTTATTATGCAATCAATGTGATATGTTATGAAATTTTTTAGGTGATCTCGCTTGAATTTCAGTGATCAAACAAGAAAAGCGAATATTTGTCAAAGCGCTTGTTTGTAAATGCTTTTAAAATGATTGAAAGCGTTTTTAGTGAAAATATTTTAAGAACTAATCCTTAGTAAAAACGCAAGTGAATTTTGAAAAAGCGCATGAAGTGCTTCCTGGAAGAAACACATGAAACAATTCAATTACTTTGGGAACTCAAATTTTTTTTTCTAAAATTGCTTTTAATCATTTTAAAAGCATTTTCAAACGAACCCTAAGATTATATTTAGCTACTTATTCTGTAATTTTTATTTTTTTTATTTTTTTTATTTTTTTATTTTGGTTTTTGAGAAAGACATTTATAATGTATTAACTAATAACAAACTACTCGCAGCGAGAATGCGAACAATTGTTAATCTGCTAATATGATAACAAATGACATAAATGAATAATAATTAAAAAGTAGATACCATCCAGAATCAAAGCAACAAACACTTCTAATTTACATAGGTGATTGATTATTTATCATAACTAAGAAAAACTCTGGAATTACCAACCCAGAGCGATCGAGAAAGCGACATTGACCTAGTTCATTCCCCAAACCCTAATTGCTACATGCATACAGGGTGTCTGACCTAATTAGTTATTTTCTCAAGCAAACGCACCGCGGCAGAGTAATCACACAAATGCACGCACATTAATCTCTTCAAAACTCATTGACTCGTCACATGAAAAGGGGTCGGTAGTGATCATGATCTTGAGGCCTCTTTTCGGCCTGAAGTACTTGGGCCGCAACCACTTCATCACCCAAATAAGAAACCGGATAGTGTGAAGTACACCGCCTATGACCAGCAACGCAATCCAAAGGATAATGAATATCTCGTACATGCGCCATGAAACCAAAATACCGTTATAAGCGTCGTTAATGGACAGCACGACTAGGTAGGAGAGTGCCAAGAATGCGAGAGTGACGCGCATGGATATCGATAAGAGCCACGTGCACAACTTATTGTGGGTAGGAAATCGACTAATGAGCAAAAGGGCGACGGTCAAGGAAGCAAGGAACGAGATGGTATTGCATGCTATGAAAGCGGTGGAGTAATCAACCACGGCATCATTACCGTTGCCTAAGGTAGTGTTTGTACCATTATTTTCCCTCCAAACTGTTCTAGAACCAAAGGTAATTTTTGTATGATTATCTTCCCAAACACGATCAGGTGGGTCGACTACGGCTTGAAAAGTTATGGTCGAGATCACCGTAGCCACACCCATCAGAGAGTTACGTGTCTCCTTCGCCCATTCATGCGGATCTCCTAACCATATCATCAATTTTCCCCAGAACCACCCTGCTGGCTTTGATCCCTTCTTTTTCCTCTTTACCCTTCTTGGATTTGGTGATACAACAACAGCAGCACCGGCAACAGCTGAGTTAGGATTATCATTTTCATTATTTTCCCTTCTGATTAATCCTGCGTCCATCAAAATCTGTTGAATCTCTAAGCTTCTGCTAAAGTCCTCTCTTGCAACGCTACTGTACTCTAAGATGTCTAACATGGTCAGAGACATCCCATTCACACCAATTGCTTCTACTCTTATAGCATCAACGGAAAGCAGGTAACGTATAGTCTGTAAATAAATATACACACTTCATTAATATGGTGGAAATTATGCTCCTAGGGAAACAAACAAGGGAATGCGCACACATAAACTAGGGTTAATTTTAGTTTATTATTCTGAAATTTATTGGTTTTTAACATTTGATACATCAAAAAATTTTCGTCTTAGTTTGGTACTTAAAGTCATAATTAATTCTGAGACACTTTCATATATCTGTTAAGTTTTCCATCAGGATCTCTATTAACCGATAACGTGGCAGCCGCATAGACAATGGACGCTCCGTATCAATATGAGCGCACATGAATATTAAAACATTTTGAGAAATTAAAATTAAAAATTTTAAAAATTAAAAATTACTAAAATACTGAAAACCGAAAAGGGTGAAGATCATTTAAAAGAAAAAGGAGGTCCACGAAGGTCTCCGACGACCACCACGGTAGATTCCAGACCTAACTGATCAACGTTTGGCCTCTTTGTGGAGGATCTTGGATGTGCAGACGACCAAGCTATCGACAACCACTACGGGAAACACGGGCAATTGGGTCGGGTCCGGATTTCTAGATGCCCAATAAAAAACAAACACGAGGTTTCTAACCCATTCGAGACTGAGCTTTCCGTCGGCCGGCCAGCCAACTGTAGTATCCGGATTAGGCCGCAGCGACGATGGGTTATCTTCGGATTCGGAGTTGGTGATGGCGGAAGACGCCTAATCGATGACCTGCAGCGGTGCTGCTGCTAATACTTCTGCAACTTCTTGAGATGCAGATGGACGGGATTCTTTCTTTTATTCCAGTTGAACGGGAGGTAAGGGAAGGGAGTGGGTTGCATATCTGGGTAAGGGAAACCCATATGCAGCACAAAAAGGGAGTGGATTCATTCCACCGCCACCCATCTGCAGTCGAAGGGAGGGAGAGTCTCAAATTTGCTCTGCGATTCCTCCTCATATGCGATTCCAGATAACTTAGTTTTTAAAATTTTTAATATTTTAGTTTTCTAATATTCACGTGAACTCAGATTAACACGTGGTGTCTAATTATTCTTTACGGAGATGCATCAACAGAGATTTTAACAAACAATTTAAAGGATGTATAAAAATACCTCAGAATTAATTATAACTTTAGTACCAAGCTTAACAAAAAAACTACGAAATGTTAAAAACCAAAAACCAAAAAACTTCACGAAATTAATGCCATAAACTATATATAAAGGGGAAGAAACAAAAGAAACTTTACACATGAACATATATTAATTAATATAGTAAAAAACTAAGAATATCCAGTATAGAAAATGGAAATATATATACGTACCTTAATTTGCCTTAGCATCAAAGCTAAGTGCAGTATGGTCACACCACTATCACAGCCAGCTCTTGAGTTGAGGAACTCACCATTTCTGTCGTCTCTTTCAACCAACAGTTTCAAGCGCTCTAACTGGTTGTGTATAATACACAAGTGCAAAACTGTTTCTTTCGATCTGTTTTCAACTTTGGCATAAATGGACCCAGGATTTTCATCAATCAACTTCTGGAGCACCTCAACTTCTCCTCTCATGGCTGCATAGTGAAGAGGGATTCTTCCATTTTCATCAAAATCCGAGCACGAACCAGCATACACAGATAACAAAGCTTCGACGGTCTCCTTGCGGCCCTTAGCAGAAGCCAAGTGCAGGGGCGTGCGTCTATCGGCGTCCACCCCCTCTGCAAGTTTGGGATTGTTAGTGCAAAGGGCTTTGGTAAACTCAGCATGGCCGTGTAAAGCCGAAACATGCAAGGGGGTTCCGGTTTTGCCGGTCTGCAGGGATATTCTCCATAGAATGTCTGGGTCTTTTTCGATCAACCTGTTTAAGGATTCTACACTCCCGGTCCGTGATGCCTCGTACACTTCATCTTCATCATGCCGTGTGATCTCCATTGTTTTTTTTTTTTTTTTCTCTCTTTCTGAACTTTGCTTCACTTAGAAAAATTTTCAGAGAGTAATCGATTATTTGTAATAGCGAACAAAATGCGCGTATATCAAAAGGACTCTAATAAGGTTAAATATAAAAGCAATTACAAAACGACTCTAAGGTGATTCGCGTATGTCCGCATGGATTGATTCTAACCGTACGTTGAAGCTTGTGTGGAGCTTGCAAATTATCGACGGCCAAGACCAGTCCCCATCCTGCATGCGAGTGGCTAAAATCTGTTACGTGCAAGTAGCAAAATTATTTTCTTTGGCTGTTTTATGCAAACCTCCAAGTTTTCTGTTCACATTTTCCCCAGATTTTGATTTTCTATAATATAGTTAGATCTTGTGTTTGTAATTAATTATAATTTGTGTGACATTTCCATGTTAAATACTACTAATTACTAATTAGTGAGTTCTAGGTATATTTAGGGAAATTTTATTCAGACCTACTTATTCTCTTTCTACACCCAACTTATCTTTTATTATCTTGAAATTCCTGATGTGCCCAACAATTCTCTTTCTACATTCAAAAGTGAAAAATAAAAACAAAAAATCAAAAATAAAATTTCAGAGGAAACTCCCGCCATCCCATCTCTCCAAAACCCCAACCACCCCAAATTTGTACTCCTCCCCAACAAATGCAACTGCTGCAATTTCAATTGTAGTTCTTGAAGAAAGGTATAGCTGCTACCTTTCTATACAAAGTCTTGGATTTTTATGTGGGGTTTCTTTTTTTCTGCGTTTTCTTTCTTTCTCATGATAATATTAATATTGTTGTTAGTTATTAAATTCGACTATTGCATATGTTAAATTTTACTTCAAATTGTAGTAATTGTCATACACGTAAATATTTTTGTGTAGAATTGCAGACCGTTTGAATTTTGAATGAGAGTTTATAATATTTATAAGTTGGTTCTGTTGTGGGATCTCCATATAGCAAATTTATCCTACTCTGTATTTCAAAAATCGTAAGTTATATTGTCTACTCTAACTATACAATTCTTCATTTGTTAATGTGATAACAAATGACATAAATGAATAATAATAAAAAAGTAGCTAGCGTCCGGCATCAAATTAAAGACAACAAACACTTCTAATTTACATAGCAGATGGATTACTTATCATAACCAAGCAACACTCTTGAATTACCAACCCGGATCCAGAAAGCATCATTGACCTAGTTCATTACCCTAAACCCTAATTGCTACATGCATAAAGGGTGTATGACCCAGATAATTATTGTTTCAAGCAAACACACCGCGACAGAGTAATCAAACAACTGCAGGCACATCATACTCTTCAAAACACATTGGATCTTTACGTGAAAAGGAGCCTGTAGTGACCATGTTCTTGAGACCTGATGTTGACCTGAAGTACATGGGCCGCAACCGCTTCATCACCCACATAAGAAACCGGATAGTCTGAAGTACGCTGCCTATGACCAGCAACGTAATCCAAAGAATAAAGAATATCCGGTACAAGCTGGATGAAACGAAACAACCGTAATTAGGGACCATCATGTACAGCACAATTAGATAGGTGAGTGCCAAGAATGCGAGAGTGACGCACATGGACATCGATAAGAGCCACGTGCACAACCGATTGTGGAGAGGAAATCCACTAACGAGCAAAAGGGTGACACTCAAAGAAGCAAGGAACATGATGGTATTGAATGCTATGAAAGCGGGGAAGTAATCCTCGGGATCATTACCGTAGCCGAACACTGCAGTTCCAACTCTACATACACTCTCTTCACTGCAAACTGTTATATTATTAAAGGTAGTGTTTGTATCATTATGTTCCCATACACCACCAGGTGGGTTGACTACGGCTTGAAAAGTCATGGTCGAGATCACCGTAGCCACAACCATCAGCAAGCCACGTGTGTCCTTCACCCAATCATCCGGATATCTTAACCATTTCATCAATTTTGTCAAGAACCACCTTGCTGGCTTTGATCCCTTTTCCGATGGTGCTACTCGTTTGTGAAGCTTCTTTTTCTTCCCTACCCTTCTTGGATTTGGTGATACAACAACAGCGGCAGCGGCAACAGCTGAGTTAGGATTGTCATTTTCATTATTTTCTCTTCTGATTAATCCTGCGTCCATCAAAATTTGTTGAATTTCTAAGCTTCTGCTAAAGTCCTCTTTTGCAACGCTGCTGTACTCTAAGATATCTGACATGGTCAGAGACATCCCATTCACACCAACTGCTTCTGCTCTTATAGTATCAACGGAAAGCAGGTAACGTATAGTCTGTAAATAATATATACACTTCATTAATATGGGGAGATTTTTTAATGTGACTGGAACACGGAGTGGTATACCATGTCACCATATAAATAGTGGAATAAGTGTTAAAAAGTTAATAACTTAAAAAATATAATTTCTCATCACTTATATAAAAACACATGGTGTATTATGCGTGTTTCGGTTACACTAAAAAACTTCTCATTAATATGATGGAAATTATGCTCCTAGGGGGAACAAACAAGGGAAAGCACATATAAACTAGGATTAATCTCACTTTCCTACTTTGAAAATTCTTAGTTTTTAACATTTGATACATCAAGTTTTTACGTTTCAGTTTGGTACTTAAAGTCATAATTAATTTTGGAACACTTTTATATATTCGTTAAGTTTTTCATCAGAACCTCCTAATGATATTGCAGCTGCATAGACAATAAATGGATGTCACGTGTCAATATGGGCGCACGTGGATATTAAAACGTTTTAAAAAATTAAAATAAAAATTTTTAAAAACTAAAAAAATTAAAAATTTTAAAAACTAAAATACTAAAAACCTAAAAGGGTGAAGATCATTTAAAAGAAAAAGGAGGTCCACGAAGGTCTCCGACGACCACCACGGTAGATTCCAGGCCTAACTGATCAACGTTTGGCATCTTTGGGGGGGATTTTGGATGGGCAGACGACCAAGCTATCGACAACCACTACGGGAAACACGGGCACTTGGGCCGGGTCCAGATTTCTAGATGCCCAATAAAAAAACAAACACGAGGTTCCTAAGCCATTCGAGACTGAACTTTCCGTAGGCTGGCCAGCCAACTGGAGTATCCGGATTAGGCCGCAGCGACAATGGGTTGTCTTCGGATTCGGAGTTGGTGACGGCGGAAGACGCCGAACCGATGACCGGCAGCGGTGCTGCTGCTAATACTTCTACAACTTCTTGAGATGCAGATGGACGGGATTCTTTCTTTTATTCCAGTTGAACGGGAGGTAAGGGAAGGGAGTGGGTTGCAGATCTGGGGAAGGGAAACCCATATGCAGCACAAAAAGGGAGTGGATTCATTCCACCGCCGCCCATGTGCAGTCGAAGGGAGGGAGATAGAGCTCTGCAATACCTCCTCATATGCGATTCCAGATAACTCTGTTTTTAATTTTTTAATATTTTAGTTTTTTTAATATTCACGTGGGTGGGCCCTGCCGGCGTCTAATTATTGTCCACGTAGATGCATCAACGTAAATTCTAACAAAAAATTTAAAAAATGTATAAAAATATCTCAGAATTAATTATGACTTAAGTACTAAATTGGGACGAAAAAAGCTTAATGCATTAAATGTTGAAAACTAAAAAACCAAAAACTTCATAATAATAACTGAGATTAATGCCATAAACTATATATAAAGGGGAACAAACAAAAGAAAATTTACACATGAACATATTTAATTAATATAGTAAAAAACTAAGAATATCCGGTATAGAAACCTACATATACGTACCTTAATTTGCCTTAGCATCAAAGCTAAGTGCAGGATGGTCACACTACCATCACAGCAGCCAGCTCTTGAGTTGAGGAACTCGCCATTGCTGTCGTCTCTTTCAACCAACAGTTTCAAGCACTCTAACTGGTTGTGTACAATACACAAGTGCAAAACTGTTTCCTTCGATCTGTTTTCAACTTTGACATACATGGACTCAGGATTTTTATCAATCAACTTCTGCAGCACCTCAACTTCTCCATTCATGGCTGCATAGTGAAGAAGGATTCTTCCCTTTTCATCGCAACGCAAGCACGCATCAGCATACACAGATAACAAAGCTTCGACAGTCTCCTTGTGGCCGTCAACAGAAGCCAAGTGCAGGGGCGTGCGTCCATCGGCGTCCACCCGTCTGCAAGTTTGGGATTTTTAGTGCAAAGGGCTTCGGTAAACTCAGTGTGGCCGTGCAAAGCCGACACATGTAAGGGGGTTCCGGTTTTGCCGGTCTGCAGGGATATTCTCCATAGAATGTCTGTGTCATTTTTAATCAACCTGTTTAAGGATTCTACACTCCCGGTCCGTGATGCCTTGTACACTTCATCTTCATTGTGCGGTCTGATCTCCATTATTTTCTCTCTCTCTCTCTCTCTCTCTCTCTCTCTCTCTCTCTCTCTCTCTCTCTCTCTCTCTGAACTTTGCTTCACTTAGAAGAAATTAAATGCCAAAACAAACGCATACAACAGGTAGCAATTGGAGTCACCAAACCATGCAAATTTATAGTTGAGAAACACTAGGGGGGAGTCCCTCAAAAGTGAAATGCATGGACTCTCTATTATCTCACAATTTAATATCGATTTTTGTGCTAACATTATAAAATATTATGCCAAAATATGAGTGGACACAGAGTCTATAAATTTAGTTTAAATTTTTTGGTTTGCAATTTGGTTAAAAATTTGATCTTCCAAGCATTATCCATAAATTTAGTCTCCCCAGTGTTATCCCATCAAATAAATTAATGTACCTGAATGAAGAACATACAAATTGCACGAGAATATATTATATTAAAAAAATTAGTTTACCTAAATGTAATCAAAATATATTATGATGAATAAAATGAAAATGAAAATGAAAATTTAAATGTAATTAATACAATAAAAATAGGAAGAAAAAGAGAAATAAAACATTAAAATACAATTAATCAATGAGATGATTAAATGTATCAGGAGCATAAAGTTACACTAGCACCCCGAACTGATAAGCGTATCAAAAGATATGCATTATATATTTTATCCAAATACGAAGTGCAAAAGTTTCCATCCTCCTTTGGGGTGATTTGAACGTATATAGGACTTGCATCTTCTCTTAGAATTTCTTACCTTCTTGGATCACAACACATCTTCTTTATATATATTTATA